TTCCTTTTAAAACCTAATTTAATACCACATCACCTACAGAAGGTCTTCTCTCATCCTGTCTCCCCACCCATCCCAGTCACAAGGAATTTTCCTCTTATACCTTAAAAGTATTTTTTCCATTTTTCTTCTCCCTGTATTTCATCCTCAATACTGACTCCCAAACCTTTTCTCCTCCTCAAATCTTCTACCACGTCTCTACCTTCAACACACAGAAGATAACTTAACCTTTCACTTCTCTTAGAAGGCTAATGTCAAAACGAACTCCGCTTCAGTTCCCTTCTGCCGGTCCCCACAACTTTTCTGTATCATTACTAATTTCTTCTCTTTCTGTCTGTTTGCAAAGAGGAATCCCTATTCCACATTAGGCTTAACCTCCTCTTAACCCTCTGGGTTCTTGATCCCATTCTCTCCTGCCTCCTCCAGGAACTTTTCTGTAGAAGGTGGTATTTGAGTTGAGCTTTAAAGGATGGGTAGGAATTCCATAGTTGGAGTTTGGGGAAGTAGAGATAGAAGGCCAACTGAAATTCCACATATTCTTTCAAGCTTGGCTAAAATACTACATATTCCTTATAACATTCTCCCCTATTCTTTTGGCTTACAGGAGACAAAATAATGATCCCCAAGTATCTGAAGGGCTGCCATATATAAAAAGGATTAGTTTTGCTTTGACTCAAAAAGCAGAGCAATGGGAGGAAATTTCAGAGGTAGATGTTAGTTGAATACAAGGAAAAACTATCTAATAATTAAAGTTATTAAAAGTAGAATAAGCTGTCTCAGTGATTTTATTACTAGAATTCACTGTTACTAGAGTTCTTCAAATAAAGACTACCTACTGGGGATATTGTAGAGGGAATTACTGTTCAGGTATAGATTTGATTGGATGACCTCTGAGGTCCCTTTTAGCTCTGAGAATCTGTTCTTGGGGATAAGAAAATATGGTGCTTAGGGACCAGAAACCTTAGAATGCTTTTAGACATCTGAAGAAATACTTCAAAATGAAAGATTTCTGTCTTCACAAATGTTTCTTAGGAGCTAGAGAAGGTATTTTATCAGCTTTGGTGGTAACTTCTTTAAGGTTTTCTTAAAAGACTCATTGGAAACTTCAGGGTAGAGATCATTTAGGTATCATGAGCTTCTAGTCAGGATTACTTATGGTGACATCTTTATTATAAATAAGTAAACACCTTCCCTAAATAAAATCATCAGATGTCCTCATGAATAGAAGAGTTTTTTTTCTCTATAGCTAAGGTGGTCTTAAAAGTGGGAGACAAAATTGTCCCTAGGGTAATTGTCCAAACTCTGTGTTCTCCATTTTGCTATAGTAGCCAGGAATGGGAAATAAGGGTGGTAGCTCCTGTCAGTTGATTTTAAATAAGACCTGAGGTATACATGTATATATAATCAGCAATTCTGGGGCCAGATGCCTAGTCTCCCTTTTCCCCTCCCTGCCTCTATTTCTCTATGGGCATGTCCTCTTTTTGTGATACTTCCTCCCCTTCAAAGCTACTCATAATGTTCTTTTTAACCACATTTTACCTATATAAAATATAGGCACTCACACAGTATGATTTACCCAAGGACCTGACAATCTACTTGAGATAGTCCAATTAGTGACCATTGATTAATTTTCTAATTTGATGACAGAACTACTCAAAAATTAAAATAAATGTATAGATATACAAACTACGTACTTACATAAACAATACGAATGGAAGCAACTGTAAAAGATCAAACAGGCTAAAGAATAAAACTATACCAGAAAGCAGTGTGGCATAATGGATAGACATCTGGACTTGACATCAGGAAGATCTGGATTCAAATTCTACCTTCAACACTTATTAAATATGAAAATCTGGGTAAATTATTTAACCTCTCCAAGCCTCAATTTCCTCATCTCTTAAGTGGGCATACTAATATCTGTAACATTTAGCTTGCAGGATTCTTGCAAGGATCAAATATGAATGTGTGTGTGTGTGTGTATATAATGTGTTGTAAACCTTCCAGTCCTAGTTAAATGTCAGATATTATTCAAACTAAATAATTAAGTTTACTATAAAACACTTAAAAGTTCCAAATGTTTCTTGCCAAAAAGACAACTAACTTTAATGAAAGGGAAAAACTGTTGTGAACTTGGAAACTTAAAGTATGGTAGTAAGAACAAAATGAAAAGTCAAGAAAGACCTCAAACATACATTTTATAAGGCAAGTCAGCCTCTCAATAATAAACGACATTGGCCAAATGATCAATTCACCAATCAGTGAATCAACAAATATTTATTAAGTGTCTACTGTTTGCCAGGAACTGTAATAATCTCTGGGCATCTAAATAAAAAGAAGGAATTAGATTGTCTTATGGAAGTATTGGACCATCAAGGAAATGTTCAGAGTTAAATTATTTTAAAATACATTTTATACCAAATAAGAAACCAAGGTAGCTTTGAAAGATATCAAACTGTCATTTCCCAATAGATAAAAGACCAAAAGATATGAACAACCATATGAAAGAATGCTCCAAAACACTAATAAAAGGAGAAATGTAAACCAAAACAACTCTGATGTTTCACCTCACACCCTGCAAACTGGCAAAACAACAACAATAACAAAATAGTAATACTCAATGTTGGAGGGGTTGTAGAATGATAAGCATATCAATATATTGTTGGTGGAACTGTGAAATGGTTCAATCATTTTGGAAAAAAGTGTGGAATTATGCAAATAAAGTAACAAAAATGCCCACACCCTTTGAACCAGAGACTCCACTACTAGATTTATGCCCCAAGGAAGCCACGGATAAGAAGAAAGTTCCCATATATGCCAAAATATTTATAGTAGCATTTTTTTTTTGTGACTAACAAAGAACTGGAAACAAAGTCAATGCCTTGAACTGATGAAACAAATTGTGGTACACAAATGTAACAGAATATTACTCTGCTGTAAGAAATGAAATGTGTGATGACTACAGAGAAGCATGGAAAGATCTATTTGAACTGATGCAAAGGAAACAAAGTCAAGAAAACAATATATATAGTAACAACAATGTAAATGAAAAGAAGAGCTACACACTAAGAAATCAAAAGTAAATGTAAAAAATTATGAAGCAGGACTGAAGGAGGAGATATTCCCAATCTACCCCTTTGCAGAGGTCAGAGGTCCATAAGTGTTAAATACTGCACATGTTTTCGCACTTTTTCAATGTATCGGTTAGTTGTGATTTTTTTTCTTCTCTAAAAAATTCAATTTGTCTCATGAAATGGCTTTTGGGGAGGGGGGGAGACGGATACTTGGGAAAATGATGATGATATAAGAAACAGAATTTGAACAAAAACTTATTTAAAAGAGAAGATGTCGAATTCAAAATATGTTTTTCCAATAGGAAGTCATTTAAAAGTTAAAGTATTCTGACACTTATAGAACCTATAAACACACAAAACTGTACTTTTAAAAAAACTGTCAATTCTTGTTTATCTGGTGACAGGCTAACTGAATTGTGGTTTATTCTATTATTATATACTTGCTTTCAAGTTTATTGACAACTAAACTCCCATCTTATTAAGTATTTACTTGCTTCTTTGGGCAACTGACCTTCCTCTGTTTACTCTGAAATCTAAACACTTACCTGTCTTCCCCCACTCAAGAGAACATATGACAGAAGGTAAACTTTGTTTCAATTTAAGGAAAGATGTTTTACTCTTGGCATTGAATCGTTTGGATGGAAGAGCTGACTTATTTCTAAGATCCAGTCTAGGTTTAATAATCTATGACTTTATAATACGTGAACAGTGGAGCAGAATGGGGAAGTGAGACAGTTTTCTATCTGTTCCTAAAACCAGTAAAGTGCTGTTATTTTTGTTTGAAGTGAATTTCTAGAACATCACATATATCCATATTCAAATGGAAATCCCACATATATTGAAAAGCCATATAAAATGATGTTTAGATTATTTGTTGTTTTATACTATTCATACCTTTGCTCCCATTAATGATAATGAGTTGAACCCACCCTATCAACATTTTCTACAAATCAAGCTTCAAAAGAAATAAATAATAATTCCAGTATAAAGGCTTAAAAGAAAAAAAGAACCATATTATTCTAAAAGAAATATTAGCGAATTTAGTTTACATGAAACAACCTCTATTACATTATTTTGAAATCAGAGTTAATCACAAACATGTCTCTTAATTATTATATTATAAATTGTGTCACCATAAATCTATTATTTTTTCTATTTATTAAAAAACCCAAATACCATAGATGCAGATGCATGTCTCAGTATTCACAATGGTATATATGCTTGCATAAATATTTAAAGTCAGACCTTTGAATTTATAATGAAGTACTACTGCACCACTTTACAAAATAACGTAATAGTAAATTTAGATGTATGACAAATAGAACTCTGTTCAGAATACTAATTAATGCTGTTGATATCCTAAAAACAAAAAAGTAATGATATCATTCAGATTCCATCTAAACAAGGTTAACACATCTACTCCAGGGAGATCTTAATAAGGCTTGATGAAACCTTATTGCTAAAATTTTTAAATTATCAGACTGGCTTTGTAACTGAGGCATAAGCATAGCTTCTTGTCTAGCACATTTTTTTTCTACTCTTATTCTAATGATACACATTCAATTACTACTGAAAAGAAAAGAATCAAATCAGAAACATCTGTAGTTTGCCATATAATTACTGGATCTTCCCCATGGAGACTGACCTTTTAACATAGATACTAGGACCTGAAAGGCTAAATGACAGGATATTCACATGGTTTAAATGTGTAACATGATTACAAGGAATTAAACAGACACAGTCATTTTCAACCTCAGTTTATGTTAACATAAGCTTTTACTTTATGATCTTATGTTTAATCTCTCTGCTCAGTATGTAGTAGCTGAATTTACTATTAGTGGGATCCACAAGCCACTGAAAGAGAATATTTTGATTATATAATAAGGTTGGATACTGTATTTGAGACTATTAGGCAACCATTACTTTTACCTGTAATAGGAATCTTTTCTACCAAGCTTTCTTCCTTGCTCTCATCTTCACATACACTAGTGACTTCTGAAAATGGAGCAGACAACATGTTTCAAAGTCACACTGATCAGACTGGTTTCATTTTCTTTTAAGACCCATTCCCTTTAATTTTTCACTTTCATTATTTCTTGTTTATTGATCTAAACTATCCATTACTGTTCTTAAACAGGAAACCTACTGTGAACTTTATGGTCAAATATTTCTACTCTGTCTGTGAAGCTTCCATGGAAATGTCCTAAGTTCTGACAGAATCTGAAACACAAAATAACCTATATCTCTTTATCTTTCAGCAGCAAAAGTGTACATCTACCAAAAATATTGGAAAATTATGATTAGCTTAGATTAAAAATTAAAAGACTAAAATTTGACCATTTACTATAGATAAAATGTACCACACCTTAACTATCTGACTCATTATTTTTTGATGAGAAATGTTCTGAAGTAATAACATAATGTCTACGGTAAATTGAAAAAAAATTTAGGGTAGTAAAAAGAAGCAAGTTCAATTAATTGATCTTTAAAATACATTACGGTATTTTATGGAATTATTTCCACTTTCGTGTAATAATTCTGGCCACAAAAGATAAGTCCTGCTAAGATTTTATAAATTGAAAAAAACCTTATTTTCCTCAGAAATTAAAACTTAGCAAAATTATGATCTAATATTTCTGTTTTAGAGGGGAAAAAGATATAGCACTGAGTTAGGTGGATATTTCCCTACACACGGACCAAGCTCTGACATTTCTTATTAGAATGAGAAGGGACATATTTATCAGATGGGAACTACAAAACTGAAAGATGTATTCAACAAAATTAGAATGTTGCTACTCTATAGTCTTCAATGTTTTACTTTATAAATATACCTTGAGAAACTGGGTATCACATGAATGCATTTTTGCTGGGGACAAACCCTTTCACAAGTTACCTTGTTTCCTTGTACCAATGCTGTCAAGCCATTGAGCATGTTTTGCTTGCTTTATTTCACTATTGTCATTCAGAATAGATGGCAAGCTGCAAGATGATTCATTACTGTGAATAGACGACCTATCTTCACACTCTTCTGTAAGGGCTTTTTTCAATAATGCTGTAGCCTACAATATTAAAACACACACACATTTACACAAAGAAATAAAAATAAACTCCTGCCACATTCCTCTTGGTCTGTGATACATCAGTTAAAAAAATAATTTTGGGCTTGACAGTTAACAAAAATATCTTCAAATTATGTTAAAATTCTATTATTTCACATTATACTTCAATCTTGAAAACAATATACATTAACAATAAAATTATCTTTTTTTTTTGAGAACATATTTTCTATAACACATTGTACTATGCCATTTAGGTCAGAGAGTAGGTCATCAATGTATTTATTATTTCTCAATCTGGACTGGTCTATTCTCCCTTGTGTGTGAACATGGTACCTTACCAATTCAAAAATATTTATGTACATATACATGGGGGAGAGAGAGAGAGAGAGAGAGAGAGAGAGAGAGAGAGAGAGAGAGAGAGAGAGAGAGAGAGAGAGAGAGAGAGAGAGTGAGTTAGAGATTTAGTTCATACCTTCATGCCTTGGGTAGGAGATTACTTTTCTGTTAAATATTTTCTGCTTTCTTGGAATGAAGATGGTAAAAAGACAATACCTTCTTCTGATTCTACTGCGACCTTTTATGTCTAGACAATGTATACATTTGAAGATTATTTTGATATATGGTATAGTTGTTAGTATAAAACTAACAAAGATTACTTTCTAGTTGCCCCAGCTGTTTCTGTCAAAGTCCTTACCTCAGTAGCTGTGGCCTAAAGTTATACATTAGAAAGATTCTGCTAACAGAAATAGGACTATTTTGTTAGAGAGAAAAGATATTAGTACTACTAGAAAGCAATACAGGTTTTGGTAAGGTGACAGACTGTTCTGTTAATAGTGACTACTCTTTCAGTTTATCAAGATATTTTCTTTAATGTCAATAGCATATATAGTAAGTGTGAGCTCTCTAGTATCATCAAAGACACTGATGAAGTCATTAAATACATGATCAAGTTTAGGATAAATGCATATATGAAATGAGTCTGATATTTCACAGAATCCTAGCATTCTAGAGCTGAAATAGACATGTCAATCAATAAATATTTATTAGGGGTCAACTATGTGCCAAGTGCTGGGGATATAAAGGAAAGCAGAAGATAGTCTCTGCTCTCAAGAACCTCACAGTCAAATGGGGAAGACAACATCTAAACAACTATGTACTGGTAAGATATATACAGGAGTCCTCATTTCTCACCTGGCTGTACTACTCTGGGATTTCTCTGCCTTCTTTATAAGCCACTGGTCTCTCCAGGCCTCTACAGCAGTTGGAGATGTGAGACTGGAGGTCAGAAGAGAGATTAAAGCTAGATAAAGCTAGATCTGAGAATCATCAGCACAAAGACGGTAATTAAATCCACGGGAGCTAATGAGATGATTAAGTGAAATAGTATAGATGGGAAAAAAGAGAGCCAAGGACAGAACCTTGGGGAACACTCATGGTTAGGGTCCTTAAGATACAGCAAAAGACACAGCAAAGGAATGGTCAGATAGGCAAAAGAACCAGGATAAAGCAGTATCATAAAAAACCTAGAGAAAAGAGAGTATCAAGGATATGAGGGTGCTCAATAGTGTCAAAGGCTGCAGAGAGGTCAAGAAGGATGAGGACAGAAAATTACACTTGATTTGGTAATTAAGAGATGATTGGGATAGACTTAGTTCTTCTTAGCAATACAATGATCTAAGATAGTGGTGGATGAACCTGCGGTCTTGAGGCCACATGGGGCCCTCCAGGTCCTCACATGTGGCCCTTGGACTGAATCCAAACTTTACAGGCCAAATCTTTTTATTAAAGGGATCTGGTCTATGAAGTTCGGATCTACGAAGTCCAAAGGTCTCACACCCCTATCTATGACAATTCCAAAACACTCATGATGGAAAATGCTATCCACATCCAGAGAAAGAACTATGGAGTCTGAATGCAGGTCAAAGCATTCTATCTTTTTTTTTTTCCTTGTGGTTTTCCCCTTTTGTTTGACTCTTCTTTCACAACATGACTAACATGGAAAAACGTTTAATAATTGTATATGTATAGCCTACATCAGATTGTTTGCTCTTTTGGAGATGGGGGGAGGGAAGAAAAAAATCTGGAACTCAAAATCTTATAGAAGTGAATGCTGAAATGCTGAAAAAATAATTGGAAAAAAAATAGTATTAAGTGGTGGAAAAAGAGATCATTGGTAACTTTGGAGGGAGTAACTTTGGTTGAATGATGAGGTGGGAAGCTATACTGCAGAGCTAAGAGGGGAGTGAGATGAAAGGACGTAGACACCCGTTTTGATCTAGACAACCTTCCTCAAGGAGTTTAATTACAAAGGTGAGGAAAGATATGGGATCAATACTAACATGGATGGATGAATCAAAGGGACATTTTTTTAAGGATGGGGAAAACATGGGCATGTTTGTAGGTGGTAATGAAACAGTTAATGGTCAGGGAGACAGACTGAAAATAAATGAGAGTAGGGATGACAGAGTGGCAACCTACTGGGAAAGAAGGGATGGATTGGGATCACTTGTACACACAGTTTTGCATTAGCAAGAAAAAGGGTCACCTTGTCCTGTGAGACAAGGTGAACAAAGAGATAATAGCATACCTGAGAGATGTGAGATGAGGAGATAAGAGGGAGCTCTTAGGAAATGGCCTCGCATTTCTTTTCATTGAAATATAAGGCAAGATTCTCAGTTGAGGGAGTGGGGGTAGGGCAAGTGAGTTATAAAAAATTTGAGGAGGGATGAAAAGGTTGGAAAAGACACTGTGCTGAGTGGAACAATAAGTCACTTAGGAAGGTCTAAAAGGATTGCCCTGTTGCAATAAGGGCCCATTTGAGATTATGTAACATAAATTTGTAGTCAATCCATTCATCATGGTTTTATTACTTTCTTCACCTTCATTTAGCAACACATAAGTAGTGGTGAAGGCAATGGATGGTGGGTGTAATCCAGGATTAAGGTTTGGAAGGGCAAGATCAGGGTTTATTAAAGGAGTTTATTAAATGTGTGTGTGTGTGTGTGTGTGTGTGTGTGTGTGTGTGTGAGTGACATGGCTGGACTTGCCTTTCAGGAAGATCAGTTTGGCAGTTGAGTGGAGGATGGACTGAAGGTAAGGAAAGACTTGAGGCAGATAAGAACCAGTATGCTATTGCAAGGAGGGAGGAAAGGCTGGCTTGCAATGGGGTAGTGGAATGAAAATAATAGAATGAATGATATAATCATTAAGTAAACAATTGCAATTACAAAAAGGGTTGAGAACAATATTATTTTACTGTGAAAATTCATTATACTATTCAGTGAGGTAGGATTCATTTGTGGGGAATAGATAATGACAATCTTTGCTCTGTCTGAATTTGTAAATATGTTATAGCACCTATTTCTTTTCATGGAATCATTCAGTAGCTCTTAGGGTATCCCAATATTGCCAGGTAAGATACATCATAATTTCTTATATGAACAAAAATAACTATCTAAAACTCCATAGCACACTACAACTTTCTAGAGAGTCCACAGAATCACTGAATCATAGATTTAGAGCTAGAAGGGGTCTAAGAAGCCAGTATTTTCTAATCCTATAGTTTCTAATTCTATAGTTAAGGAAACACATCCAGCATGGCTTAGTAACTTACCCAAGGTCACAGAACTTAGAGATGTCAGAGTCAGGATTTGAACGCGGGTCATATGGTTTCAAATCCTGTGATTTCTTCACATTTCAAACCATTGACAGAGTCTTCTTTATCAAGGCACTAGAAATAACTTTAGTGTACAAGTTTACCTGTAATACTTAATCTAGGTGCATAACAGGTAATTTCTCCAGGCCTGTTATTTCTTAGCATTGACTAAAATTATAATTTTAAATTTAATACTTATGTTTTTTCTGAAAACATACATGAGTACTTCTAAAATCTCATGGATGCCTGGAGTTTTTGGTATTTTATACCTCTAGGATCCGCACTTTTTTGAGGGAGACATGATTCTTTAACAACTCTCAGATTTGTTTTCAAAGAATTTCAACTTGATAATTTTAATATGTTACTTTTTAAAGATTGGGTGAGGGGCAGGTAGGTGGCACAGTAGATAGAGCACTGGCCCTGGATTCAGGAGGACCTGAGTTCAAATTTGGCCTCAGACACACAACACTTACTAGCTGGGCAAGTCACTTAACCCCATTGGCTAGCAAAAACACAAAAGAAAAACAAACAACAACAACAACAACAACAAAAAGATTGGGTGAACTTTTCTGGATTTCCAGTAGTCCTTCATTGTTACTTCCCAGTTTCTCAGACTATGGCAACACTTGCTTTGTTCTTTTTTTCTTTCTTTTTTTGCCCCTTTTCTAAATAAAATTCTGATTTTGTCTCAGTTAGGTTTAGAATTTGTACTCTGAAAGAATAACATGAAGTCCTAATAGGTATTTCCTACACCTAAATAAAATAATTAGAAAATAACTTATTCTGTTTGCAAGGTTTTCAAAACCCAAATATAAAGTATAGGTTTTTATCATCCCTTACCTACTTGTATATTTTTGAGGTGAATTTTACTCATATTTTTTATTTTTCATATAACCAGAATTTCTCCCAGTATTCCTCTCTCTTCCCTGTCAAGGGCCATATTATACAGAATTAATTTTTAAAGAACAATATCAGCAAAACTGATCAATACATTAGACAAGTCTGAAAATATATGCAGTGTTCTACACCCATGGATCTCCCATCTCAGCAAAAGAATAGGGTGGGAGAGGTGTCAATTAATATCATTAGAGCCATGGTTTTTCTTTGCCTGATTTTCCAACATCCAATTTTGATTTTTTTATGTTGCTGTGCTTTCCATTTTCATTTAGTCATTGTATGTATTGTGTATATTGCTTTTTTTATTCTGCTTACTTACATAGGTCCATCTGTCTTCCCATGTTTCTCTGTGTTCATGATTTCTTACAATAACATCCCATTATGTAGATGTAGGGAAATTTATCTAGCCACTCCCCAAAAGAGGAGAATCTACTTTGTTTTCAGAGTT